GGCTGAAACTTTGGCGGAAAAGTTGATGTCACGAAAAATGTCCATGAAATCATTTTCTGAATCAGAATTTTGCGCTGAATCCAATGGTGATAGTGTCGTCCCCAGCCGTCGCATTGGTCGCGAGTTATGGAAGGTTATGTACTGCGCATGCGCTGAACTATCTTCGTAAATACGCATCTTTTGTTGAAAGGATATTAAGCAAAGTTGTAGCCCTCATCAAGGCGAACAACATTCGTTAATGTCTTCTTAACAAAATATGCAAGCGTAATGTTTTACGTTCTGCGCATGCGCAGACCTTCTCCTTGCCAGCCGGCATTTCGGTCTGGAACTCTATCTGGCTGAAACTTTGGCGGAAAAGTTGATGTCACGAAAAATGTCCATGAAATCATTTTTTGAATCAGAATTTTACGCTGAATCCAATGGTGATAGTGTCGTCCCCAGCCGTTGCATTGGTCCCGAGTTATGGGAGGTTATGTACTGCGCATGCGCAGAAATATCTTCGTAAATACGCATCTTTTGTTGAAAGGGTATTAAGCAAAGTTGTAGCCCTCATCAAGGCGAACAACATTCGTTAATGTCTTCTTAACAAAATATGCAAGCGTAATGTTTTACGTTCTGCGCATGCGCAGACCTTCTCCTTGCCAGCCGGCATTTCGGTCTGGAGCTCTATCTGGCTGATACTTTGGCGGAAAAGTTGATGTCACGAAAAATGTCCATGAAATCATTTTCTGAATCAGAATTTTACGCTGAATCCAATGGTGATAGTGTCGTCCCCAGCAGTCGCATTGGTCCCGAGTTATGGATGGTTATGTACTGCGCATGCGCAGAACTATCTTCGTAAATACGCATCTTTTGTTGAAAGAATATTAAGCAAAGTTGTAGCCCCCATCAAGGCGAACAACATTCGTTAATGTCTTCTTAACAAAATATGCAAGCGTAAGGTTTTACGTTCCGCGCATGCGCAGACCTTCTCCTTGCCAGCCGGCAGTTCGGTCTGGAGCTTATTATTATTATTATTATTATTATTATTTAATCTTATTTTACAACGGTAGGCCCTTCAGTGAATTACGACTGATTTTCAAGGGGCCGTTGCTAAATTAAGGCACAAAAACAAAATTTTACATCTATTACACACTATAAAAGAACTTCTAAAAAAGGTATAAAATGTTATAAAAGGTATTAGTATTACTCTATTTACAAGCTCGTTCTTCCATGTTATTGAGAATAGCCCTGAACTGACCAACTGATATTGCTCTATCTTTTGCGCGCTTCGGCAGATCATTCCAAAACGCAGCACCTGAATAACTGAAGCTTTTTTTCAAATAATTCGTATTCGGCTTTGGAAGTGCAAAATCTAATTCGTTACTGCGAAGGTTATAGTTTTTATTGTTGCTAGTGTTAAACATGCTCGTCAGGCATTTGGGAAACTCATTATTTCTTATTTTAAACATAAATAATGCTCTTTTGTCTTTTCTTCGGTCTAGCAACGGTTGCCACCCTAAGTTTTTTAAAATCTCACTTGAACGAGTTTCATAGGATTTTCCAGTTATGACTCTTGCAGCCCTGTTCTGCAGTTTTTGTAATTTTTCTAGTAGATAATTACTGCAATTATCCCAGACAAGGCTACAATAGTCAAATGTGGCATTATCAGGGCACTATAGACAGTCCTTAAAGTTTCCTGGGGAACATAGGCTTTCATTCTCCTTAACATGCCAATTCCTCTAGAAACTTTGGTAGTTATTTCGTCAATTTGATTTTTCCATAGTAATTTTTCGTCGATGACAATACCTAATGTTTTTGCTTGTTTAACTCTTTTTATATCAATACCGTCAAGACTTATCTTCGGATCGTCATCAATTTTCGCTAACCGTTGCCGAGAGCTAATTATCATATACTCAGTTTTTTCTTTGTTAAGAGTCAATTTGTTGGTTAACAGCCACGTATGAATATTTTCTAAATCAGAATTTAACTGGTTTTGTATATCTTCTATGGACTTCCCAGATGTTGTTAAATTTGTATCGTCAGCGAACATACTAGCTATTGAATGAGATAGGCAACTTGGGAGGTCATTTACGTAAAGTAAAAATAATAACGGCCCCAAAGTAGAGCCTTGTGGTACACCACAGCGAATAACACGTTCCTGAGATATAGTACGACCAATTTTGCCCATCTGACGTCGATTTGTTAAGTACGATTTAAACCAGCAAAGAGTATTTTCACTGCCCCCATACAACTTTAGTTTTCTAATTAGAATATCATGATTTACACAATCAAAAGCTTTTTTAAGGTCTAGGAAAATAACTCCATTTAAATATCCTTTGTCCATGTTAATAAACCACTTGTTAGTAGAATTTAAAAGCGATGTTTCTGTTGAGTTTTTCTTCCTAAAACCTGCCTGTTGTTGTGTGAGTATGCCTCTTGTTTCCAGAAATGTTGATAATTGGTTTGATATAAGTTTTTCAAAAGCTTTAGCAACAACTGAAAGTACTGAAATTGGCCTATAGTTATTGCACTCTAATTTGCTTTCTGATTTAAAGATTGGTGATATAATTGCGACCTTAAAGTCGTCTGGAAAAACACCAGTCAACAGCGATTGGTTAAATATTTGAGTTAAGCTAGAGGTTATCACACCGGCAGAGTCTTTCAAAAGTTTAGGTGATATTCTATCATAGCCCGTAGCTTTGGATGAGGATAATGCTGAAACTATACCAAAAACCTCGACCTCCGTTACATTCTGTAATTCGAATGTAGAGTCATTCTCAGGTTTAATATATGACTCGGGTGTCCTTGTACTTTCTGGTAATTTTTGAGCCAGGGTTGTTCCAATTTCATTGAAAAAGTTGTTAAATGTATTTACAATAACTTCTGGCTCCTCAATCACTTTATCATCAACAACGATCTTAGTTATATTTGTTGTCTTGGACTTTTTGTTTGTAATTTTATTAATTGTCTTCCACATTTCTTTTGGATTTTTAGCAGTATTATTAATTATGCTCGTAAAATATTCGGTTTTAGTCTTTTCAATCAATCTATTTAAATCATTTCGAGCTCTTTTGTAAGCATCATGTAAATTGGAAGATCCAGTTTTGACCGCTTTTTTCTTAAGAAAATCCCTGTGGTAGATATGTCTCTTAATATTTTGAGGCACATGCATATCAGAAATTAATAGAAACTTTGTTTTCCATTCCTGCCATAGTGAATTAGGATCAGGAGATTGGCTTGATTGCGTTTGAAATATCTTATGTAGGTCATAACAAAATGCATCTTTGCTATAATTTTTGAATTGCCGTGTACTTATGAGTTTTGGCTCCTTACGAGGAATTGAAATTTTCCGGCATATATAAATTAAGCTATGATCAGTAATTCCTAAATGCTCAACTTCTGATGCAATTACTATTTCCGGTCTATTGCTAAAAGCTAAATCAATAATGGTCCTGGTCGTTTGTGTTATTCGCGTGGGTTGCTTAATGAACTGTTCGAGTTGAAATAGATTTGCAAGATCAACTAATTTATTTGTTTGCGAGTTCAATTTATCCTTCTCCAGAGACCAATCACAGTTAAAATCACCAATAAGTATTATTTCGTTACCCTCTGAATCCATGTTTTTCACAAGTTCTTCGTAACTATTGAAGAGTTCAAGAGATGTATTTGGTGGTCTATACCATGTGTTTATTAGGAAAGGTTTTGCCTTTGGTTTACAAATTTCAACTGTGATCGTCTCTAGATTGTCCGTCATTAAATCATACCTAACTTTATAGTCTATTGAACTTCTTACATACATTGCTACTCCTCCACCATGCCTATTTCTGTCCTCTCGTATAATATCATACCCATTTATATCTATTTCATGGTCTGCTACAGTATTGTCTAGCATAGTTTCATTCAAGGTAATAATATCATATTTTTGGGAATATAAGTACAGCTTAAGTTGATCCATATTTTTTATTAAACTTCTGATATTCAGGTGAGCAATCTTGAACCCTCTCATTTGTTTGATATTTTTATTATCACTTCGAGTACAGGAATTTGGTCTCACCTCAACATTATTTGAATTATCGTGTTTTGAATGATTTAGTGAAATTTGATCTGGTTCAAAATCCTCAGTCGGGCTATTCTCTGCTATACATCAATTACTTTTGCCATGCATGTTAAGATAGTCTAGAATATTTCTAGCTAAAACGGACGTCCCAGCTCTATTTAAATGGACGCCATACGGATTAATATGCGGTTCCCCAATATTGTTATGCTTAATAATATATAAATTACGGCTTTCGCAAAAGCTTGCAAGCAAGGTATTGGTCTCACCTATTTTCTGCTTGTATTCTGCCCTATCCGTCCTGAGTATGACTTCAGAGATTACAATTTCCGTTGAGGGGCTGTCAGTCTGTATTATATCGCAAATTTCAGCAATGCCGTCAACTATTTTACTCGGATGTTTCTCTGGTAGATCATTCGTGCCAACATGCAGAATAACTTGTGTAGGCTTTTTATCTAAGCATGGTTTAATATGGTGCTTTATGGCTGATATTTTTGCACCTCTGTAGGTTTCAGCAAAAACTTTGCTCTCTTCACCTTTTATTGATCTCTGCAGCCTTCGGGAATCTAAATGTTTGATCATTGAGTCCCCGATAATAACTGTAGAAGTGCTTGCTTTGCTTCTTTTCTTGTTTCGGCTCTTATCCTTACCCCCTTGTGACTTTCGGCTTTTTGTTTTTGCGCTTTCATTCGTGTCATGGCTTGTAGATGTAATTTCATTGTCTTCTTGATGGTCACTTAAGATTTCATATCTATTGTGTGTTGAGACATTTTCATCATCATCGACGATTACTACATTAGCTTTTTCTAGGGGTTCAAATTTATCACATTGTTCACCTTCGCATCGTTTGTTGTCTCGACCATGTTCGTGTCGTAAAATGTTTATCACTGTAATGAGGCTCATTTTCTCGTTTTCTAGATCTTTGACCTTGGTGTTTAGATCAGACATAATATATCCCAAGTTCTGTACACGTTCCCTCAGTGCTTCGTTTTCTTTCTTTAGTATAGCATTCTCCGTGTGGACATATTCGGCTGAAAATCTGGCTGAAGCTCTATCTGGCTGAAACTTTGGCGGAAAAGTTGATGTCACGAAAAATGTCCATGAAATCATTTTCTGAATCAGAATTTTACGCTGAATCCAATGGTGATAGTGTCGTCCCCAGCCGTCGCATTGGTCCCGAGTTATGGAAGGTTATGTACTGCGCATGCGCAGAACTATCTTCGTAAATACGCATCTTTTGATGAAAGGATATTAAGCAAAGTTGTAGCCCTCATCAAGGCGAACAACATTCGTTAATATCTTCTTAACAAAATATGCAAGCGTAAGGTTTTACGTTCTGCGCATGCGCAGACCTTCTCCTTGCCAGCCGGCATTTCGGTCTGGAGCTCTATCTGGCTGAAACTTTGGCGGAAAAGTTGATGTCACGAAAAATGTCCATGAAATCATTTTCTGAATCAGAATTTTACGCTGAATCCAATGGTGATAGTGTCGTCCCCAGCCGTCGCATTGGTCCCGAGTTATGGAAGGTTATGTACTGCGCATGCGCAGAACTATCTTCGTAAATACGCATCTTTTCTTGAAAGGATATTAAGCAAAGTTGTAGCCCTCATCAAGGCGAACAACATTCGTTAATGTCTTCTTAACAAAATATGCAAGCGTAATGTTTTACGTTCTGCGCATGCGCAGACCTTCTCCTTGCCAGCCGGCATTTCGGTCTGGAGCTCTATCTGGCTGATACTTTGGCGGAAAAGTTGATGTCACGAAAAATGTCCATGAAATCATTTTCTGAATCAGAATTTTACGCTGAATCCAATGGTGATAGTGTCGTCCCCAGCCGTCGCATTGGTCCCGAGTTATGGAAGGTTATGTACTGCGCATGCGCAGAACTATCTTCGTAAATACGCATCTTTTGTTGAAAGGATATTAAGCAAAGTTGTAGCCCTCATCAAGGCGAACAACATTCGTTAATGTCTTCTTAACAAAATATGCAAGCGTAATGTTTTACGTTCTGCGCATGCGCAGAGCTTCTCCTTGCCAGCCGGCATTTCGGTCTGGAGCTCTATCTGGCTGAAACTTTGGCGGAAAAGTTGATGTCACGAAAAATGTCCATGAAATCATTTTCTGAATCAGAATTTTACGCTGAATCCAATGGTGATAGTGTCGTCCCCAGCCGTCGCATTGGTCCCGAGTTATGGAAGGTTATGTACTGCGCATGCGCAGAACTATCTTCGTAAATACGCATCTTTTGTTGAAAGGATATTACGCAAAGTTGTAGCCCTCATCAAGGCGAACAAAAGAGTTTATAAATAACTTAGAAAATTGACATGATATTACGTTGTCTAGAGTTGCTAATTCAGTAAATAATGTTCAATCTAAGACTATGCAAACTACTTCTAACATTCAAAACCTGCTCTTGCCAAACAGGAGGGGCTTTAAACTTGCCTCACTTAATATCACCAGTTTAGTCAAACATATTGATGAGCTTAGAATCTATCTATCAAATAATGTGATTGATGTACTGGCTATTAATGAGACAAGGCTTGACTCTACGGTTGGTGACAACGAAGTACACATACCTGGATACGAAATTGTTAGGCGAGATAGAGATTCCAATGGTAGATTTGGCGGTGGGGTTTGTTTTTATATTCGTAGCTGTATAAATTTTTCAGTTCGGCATGATCTATCTTTTGAGCAATTGGAAAACCTGTGTATTTCAGTTAATAAACTTAGAGCCAAGCCTTTTCTTATTACCACTTGGTACAGGCCTCCTAATTCGCCTGTAGCATTGTTTAATTATTTTGAAATTCTTCTAGGTATGCTCGATTCCGAAAATATCGAGTATTACCTCATGGGCGACTTCAACTGTGATTTGAGCTCTACAGTCTTAGATCATGATTCGAAGTCACTCATGGATATTGCCGATTTATATAATCTTTCTCAGCTTATAAATGAACCTACTCGAATCACAGACTCCTCCTCAACATTGTTAGATCATATTTTTACAAATACTCCTGACAAGGTTGTTTGCTCTGGTGTTTCTCATGTGAGTATAAGCGATCATAGTCTTATTTACGCCTTTCCCAAACTTTCTGTGGGTTCATCGACGGGGGTACATTCTTCAATAAACTACAGAAAGTTTAAAAACTTTGATTCTACTAAATTTCGTAATGATATTAGTCAACAGAGTTGGAACTATATCAATCAGTACGAAAACCCTAATGACATGTGGCATGCTTGGAAAGCCACATTCAATTCTATCGCAGATAAGCACGCCCCAATTCGAGCTAAGCGCGTTAAGGCTATTAAATCGCCTTGGATCACATCTCTTTTGAAAGATAAAATGCATAGGCGAGATGTCCTAAAAATTAAAGCAATTCGTTCCAACGATACTCAAGATTGGCTTTCTTTTAAGAAAATGCGTAATTTTGTTAATTCTGAAATCTTCTACGCAAAGCAAGCCTATTTCAAAAATTCTTTCAATGATAATAAAGACAATCCTAATAAGACCTGGAAGATCA